AGTAGTTCCAGCGTTGACCGCTCGATAGCGCCGCTTACCCGCGCTAGAAAAAATCAGTCCGGGAACTTTCCGGACAAACTGTGTATATATTATATATTATATATATAATATAATTATATATTATATTATATATTACATATAATATTTATATATAATAATAATACTGAAGAGGGCTCAAGTAAGAGCCGAAACGTTTATATATTTAGAACTATATGTTATTGTTTTACTAATAAAATTACGATCTTTTGTTTGCTCGATATAGACCTTTTTTCTAATTATTATTTGATGTTGTTGATAATTATATTTTTAATATCATCTTCTCTTTCACAGAACTAGAGAATTAATTGTACAAAATTATTTTTAGGTAATTCGATTTAAAACATCGACGGTAACGAGAACGAAAACATCGGTGTTAGGTTCGCCACCGACAACGAGAACACTCCTGCTCACGCATACAATGACCACGACGACGGTGGAAACGGTTACGGAAACATTGGTGCGACCAACAAGCGTCGTGTCCACGGTAACATCGACGATTTTACAATCGATCGTGACGAGAATACCTTCGCTTTACGACAATGCTGTGGATAACGACTCGATATTTGTCGTGATGAGCGATCAGAAACCGCCCGCGCCCGGGGCGGAAGAGGTACGAACTTAGAAATTATATACATCAAAAAATTTCCGAATATTTTTAGAAATATGAAAACAAAAAAAAAGAAGAAAAATAATTTGACCGCGCAAGACCGAGATATTTTGCTTTTGATTTTCAGGTGGAGGCTGAATACGGAGAGGAAGTTTCGCGTGACGAGCAAGATCCGATGGGCAACGAGGTTCACAAGGTACTTGCGGGTGGAATACTCGGCGCACCTGTGGCACCTCTCCCACCCGCTGCAAATCAATGCACACCGGAATGCAAACCGTCCAAATCTGAAATATGTGCCGAGGTAGGAACTGAAACGAGGTGTGTGTGTCGGCCAGGATTCGCGAGAATGTTCTTGGATCGTCCTTGCAAGCGTAAGTATATTTTATTTGATAAATTCGTTAGATGTTTTTTAACGTGTGCACTTTATAAATAAAATAAAATAATTTACACAGCGACTTACACGTACACTCTGCGCGTTGGTCTGGATCGTATCGGCCACGACTTCGTGGCCTACGAAAATTCCCTAAATGATTCTACATCAACGACCTACAAACGTCTGATGACTCCGACGAAAGAAGCTTTGGATCGAATGTTGATGCAGAGTGATCTGAGAGATATTTACAGAGGGCTTACAATCGCCGGATTCACCCCGGATCCCACAAGAGTCGAGTTTCACGTGCAGCTTAGCGATAACACTAACGAGGCCAGATTGAAAGAAGTTCTTCGGAAATATTTGGTCGGAAGCAATTACAGTTTGGGCGGCATGGAGGTTTTCGCATCAAAGAATCTTGATTTGGTGAGTTAACATAAATTACTCAAGCGTCACATAAAAGAAGTTTAAGGACGTTCGCCGACTACAGTGGTTAGCAACCTAAAATATCTCTTCTCATGAGTAAGTTTGTACTGCTGTAACAAAGTTAAGTTGAACTATTCAGCACCGCTAAAACCCTCTTACTCTGCGCAGAGTTCAAAAATAGCTGCAGTACACAGCGCACATAAATCCAGCAAAACAAACCCCCCCCCCCCCAAAAAAAAAGCTACAGTTTGAAAAAAGGTTGCTTGCCATATTATTCAAAATTGTATTTTAATTAGGACACTCTCCACTACCACATACTTGTTTTTAAAAAAAAATCCTAAGAAAATTGTCGTCGGTAATTTTAAAAAAGCCCACTTCACAAAGGCTCAGCATAGAAAATCCATGTTAAAAATTGAAATATAAATCTTCCATATTTTGAAATTTAACATTGCTATCCCTATTATCCAAAGAGGCTACGTATAAATAAGATCATAAACTATGTATATTGCAAATTTAAAGAAAATCCTAAGAAAATCAATAATTCGGAGAACGTCCTTAAGGTTGTATTCAAGGTAAGATAAAAGATATCTCAAATTATTCGAAATGTGCCAGTCAGTAGATAATATTAAAAAAAGAAATTATGCAAAATTTCAGCTTCTTTGCGAACCTTGTTAAAAAGTTAGTACGATTTTAATTTAACACGAGTTCTTATGGGATTTCACGATATTCTGATGTATAAATTACAAAATAAACTGTAGATGTAGATATGCCATAATTTTGAAACTTTTTGCAGTTGTTAATAAATATCTTAAAAACAAATTCCACTTGAAAAAATAGTCATTTCGAGAATATCACATAAAATATAAATTTATATTTTGGTACAATTAATAAAAATATATATTTAATATACATAAAACAATTATATTTGTAATTCTATACATNATTTGTTACGTTTTAATAACCTTTTATGATTAATATATTTCCAGTTTTTCATTTATCTTACATTGCACGTAGGGTATAATTCTACTCAAAAGTAAACAAAAGGGCACAAAATATACGTAAAAACTTTTCCGTAGTATTAAAAGTATAATAAATAGTTTTTGTAATTTATTTTAGTACAAATAATACTATTCCAGCAAACAATTATTATCTAAATATTAAAATAGGTGTGGTTCACGCTATGTTTCTTAAACTTTTGACTGAGATCTTACCCTGAATACAACCTTAAATGTTTGTCATTTTTATAGATCTTCAATATTTTATTTTTACATTTCAGATTGAGGCGGTTGACTTCGACGAGTGCGCTTTCAGAGAAAACGGACCGCATCACGACTGTTCGCCTTACGCAGCGTGTTTCAACTTACGAGGCTCCTATCAATGTTCTTGCAGAGAAGGCTGGGCCGATTTGTCTGACAATCCAGCGTATCCTGGAAGAGTGTGCTCGCAGGCTCCGTTAGGATGCGCCGGTTGCAACAACAAAGGTCATTGCGTCACCAATACTCTCGGTCAGGAGGTATGCGAATGCTTCCCTTGGCACAGCGGCCAACGTTGTCAAGTTAATCTCAAAGGTAAAGACATTAAGCCTGGATCCTCATGCAGACAACGGCGCTTCGACACCGAGCGTTGATTGGTGAAAAGCGGATTGGTGAGGGTAAATGGTAACCCTAATTTATCCTCACCACCCGCTTTTCACCAATCAACGTTCGGTGTCAAAGCGCCGGTGTCTGCATGAGGATCCAGCCTAAGGCACATGAAGCAAAACGGCGGTACAGTTAAATCAAAATGTCACAAACAAATTAATATACAAGAAGACTTTTTAAGACACAGTTTTTTAACACATTTCCGTATGTTGACAGTTTTGTTGATAGCCCTGGTGACGACCGGAGCAATCCTACTGGGTCTCTTAGCGATTTGTGTGGGAATGACGTGCTTCCGTCACCCGGGACGCGATCAAAAGACCGGCGACAGACGTGCAATGATCTCCAGAACGGGTTGCGACACCAGTAGCGAAGGTAGCGTAACCGATCTGGCGATACCCCATCACGTGCCGCACGTTTTGCCACCGCCACCGCAAATGATAGCGCCGTTGCCGCCGAACAAGCGACCGATTCGTAAGATCAGTACGAAACCTCGTCATCCACCGAGAAAAGCCACCATGATATCCGCGCCTGGTATGTCCATCCTCGTATTTTTTATTTAATCGTCATTTTTCGAGCAATTTCTTTTTTTGTAATTGCGATTTTGTCAACGTGTTGATTTTTTTACGATAATATCTGGTCAAAAAAAAAAAAAAAAAAAAAATTAATGTCTGTGCAGCAATTTCGGTCAGTGACGATCAGCGTGATCGCTCCTTGACGGTAATGATACCGCGCGCGAAATATCGATCGGCGCCGCAGTCACCGCAAAATTACAAAGGCGGCTTGAGCACCTTCGCCGCCGAGGAGCACAAGCTTCTAAATTACCTCGACAATGGCACGAGCTCTCTGGCAAACCGAAAACAAAGCATATCGAGCGCGAAGGATTGCAAGGAGGCTGATCTGCAGAGAACGAGAACTCCGGTGACGCCCACGGGTGCTCTTGTGAGCGCCGGTTTTCAGGTTATTGTTCGATTTGCAATCTCTTTATCTCGCATGCGTATAAAAGTTTTGTAGCCAAAATGTGAGTTTAATTATTGCCGATATAACAGGTATCAGCAACGGTGACTCGCACTGTAGACGCTGAATCCACATTGGCGCGCTCTTGCGGCGAAACCACCGTGGAGACAGCGACGAAAGTGCTGAGAAGCGGAGATCTTCAAGTCGATCTCGACTCAACACTGGCGCGCTCGTGCGGCGAAACGACCATCCAGGCACCCACGAAGCTGCTCAGATTGGACTTAGGCGAGGCGGGCTCAACTTTGGCGAGATCGTGCGGAGAAACGACGATCCAACCGCCAACGAAAGTCGCCGCTGTGCGAAGGAACAGCGTAAAAGACGCCAGAGATAACAGAGACATCAGGGACAGCGCCAGCGAGGGTCATACCATGGCCGAACGCGATTTAGGCAGCACGCTGAGACTTCCGGCCCAACATCCGCCGTTGTACAGTCCGGACAGGGTAAGACAACGCTTCACGTTGAAATAGTTTTTCTCTTTGAGGATTAATGTTCTATATTTTTTTGTTGGTTTTGGTTGCTTTTCGCAGACCAGCGATCGGGAATCCAACTTCGATTCGCTCTAGACGCTCAAACGAGAACGAGTCACGGTAAATGAGAAGATTAATCGCGGACGAAGCCGCTGGACGGTATCTTCCGTAAATTTAAATAAAAAGATAAATCAAAATTATATCAATACACGTGATAAACGTGACTGATATGTATATTATTTTACAATTTTTTATTATTTATAAAAATCGACATAGTTTTTTTTTACTTTCCTTCAGCACTTTCACAGTGTGTTTGCAGGGTAGCTGCTTGATTTGTCGGATCGATCGGCAAGGATTTTGCATCGTTCGTTGGTTTCAAGATTCATCGAAATTACCCGACATTCTTATCTCGTTAGTAAAAATTTCTTCTAAATTCGGACCTGTTTACGAATTCTCTTCTCAGATTAAAATCTGAGCGCGTATATAACTTCTCGTTTAAACGCGCGTGACTCAACCCCGTGCCAAAATAGAACCAATGAAATATAAGGAAGGTTCCTTGAAGAAGCGTTTTCTTGCCTTCCTCTACGCGTCGTTTTTTCACGACATCGAGCGCGATTCGCTGTAGGTGATTGAAATATTAGATTATTTATATTTATTTTGTATACAATGTAAAACATTCGACTGATCATAACGTCAATATTGTGTCATTTCGAAGAGACATAAAAAGTCTTTTATGAAAATTATTCTTCTTGTCGATAAAATCTATTTGATAGAAAATTTAGCGCGAGAAATGTGTAATTTGAAAGCGACAATATTTCAATCGTCGCAGCTTGCCGCGCGCATTATATGCGTGCGGTGCGATACGTAGTGTCATAAATCGTAGATGACGCAAAGATAGCACGACGAAAAAGCTCGATGCTCAACATCGATCAAAGAAACGAAATTTTTATTATTATTTTGTTGTTATTGTTTGTTTGTTTAGTCTATTCTCCGACGATGTCGAACGCATGTTGCCCGGCTTCGTTGCGGAGGCATTCTTTGAGAACGATCTCGTCAGATCGTTGGAAGATGACGCGAGTATTGTTGCGGTGTTTGTTTGAATGTAAATTGTTTATTTCGCGTGTTGTTCAACACAATTGTTCTTTGAAGATATATCAGTAGATTAATCAGTAGAGATTCAATTTCTCCAAAAATAATTTAACGTATCTAATTTCGAAATTAGCTCAAGCGATTAAATGAAAAAAAAAAAAAAAAAAATTGTAACATTTTGCATTCAAAAGAAGCACCTTTATCCTCTCCCAGGCTGTTCAAAACGAAGCCGCGGCAACGTCGCCGCATTAGAACTCGAGAAAGGAAGCGAAACGCCCAATGTATTTACTGTTAGCTCAATAGTGTAAGCAGAAGTGTAACAAAGAACACACAATGTGTATCAATATCACCCCCCCGTCAGTACACGATCAATCAAAAGATTTGTTCCGTCCCGCACGCAACGCGGGACGAGTTCAATTACGCTGGTTTAGAAAACGAAGATGACGATGCTCGTATTTTAAGTTTCTCTCGTTACTAACTTTGTCTCTTCTCTCTCTTTCCCTCCCGCCCCGTCTTACTCTTCAATTCCTTTTTCAAAAACACGCCTCTCATTATGCATATACATATGTATAATTTTTTTTCCTGTTGTACATATTGCCTCCTCTCTTCGAAACCTCTTCTACGCATTACTATGTTGTAATTTTGTATACTTATACATGTACTTGTAATAAAAAGTCAATAATATAACGGTATGTTTGAAAAAGGTACCTGTTTGTCATACTCAAGAGAAATTACATATTATATAATTAATGCGCGAGGAAAATTTAAAATTAAGACAAATAATAAAGAAACGAAAAAAACGGCGACGTCAACTCCACGATTGCAGCACGCGGCTAGGCGAATTATGATTTACGTTTATTATCAGTTTATAACCGTAGACTTACCAGTGCTATACAGTAGATATGCATATATATACACATTTTCATCATTTATAAGTTACTAAAATAGTTTTTACTAAAACATATTATGTATAAACAATTCATAAGTAATTTTATATATACATATATATATATATATATATACTAATTATTTATTCTTATAATAAATTCTTAACGTTGTACACATTTTTTATTCTTATAATAAATTTTTAACGTCGTAGGTTTTGATGTCTTAACTCGCTCAAAAGCCTTTGCACTCATCGACGATAGAATATTTTCCACGTCGCACCGTATAAAATCGTAAACGGGCGAATTGATTAATTTCCAATCGGCGAGTTTATTGTTTCGCAAATTCAATTATGTGTGCTGAACATTTATGGAAGCAATTTCGGACGCCCCGGCCCTTCGCGCGTAAGGACAATCTGACAAGTTTGTCACGGGAGAGAAAAAGTGGCGACGTGCGCCGGTCCGCGTTTCGTGATTCGTCGCGGGTCGCGACTAAAAGAAAGAACGAGCCTAATCCGCAAAACAAACCGAATCTTCCAGAATCTTATTCAAGACCATTTGGTCTTCGCAATCTTTCGATCGTGTTCTTTCTCACACGTGACGAAAATCCTCGCACGCGACTTTTGCGCAAAGACCGAAGTAATTAAATTGTGTGTGTCCAGATCCAAGAATGAAATCGCGTCGTTAAATTAAGTTATCGGAACCTATCGTTCCTGTCAATTTCGTAAAAAAATCGGAAATGTTAATATTCTCAGTGCCCGCCTTCCCGCGCAATCTTTTTTTTTTTTGCTCTACCGCGGCCCTTTGGATGACTAAAAGCAGGTGACCATGTACCGCGATTGTACGACGCAGAAGAACACGTCAAGAACGAGAACAGTGGGGATACACAGTTTTCGTGGCGTGCGCGCACCGGCCAACTACCAACATCCCGCACGCGGATTGTTACCCCCCTCTTTGAGGCACTTCACCCTCTGTCTCTCCCTTTACTCCGCCGCTTCTGTCGAGTCATCGACGTTTGGATAAAGGGAGTTCCTCTGAGGAAGGGAGGGTGACGCCCTCCGTGGTTTTACGTTGGTGGGGGACGGACATCTTGTCTTTCTTACACTTGTTTCCTTTCTTATGTCTTGTCTTCGTTTTATGACGAGAGTTTTATCTCTTCTTCTCTCTTCTCTTCTCTCTTTCTCTCTTTCTTTTTCTTTCCGCTTTTCTATCTCGCACTGCCGGCTGCTGCTGGCAACGTGGAAGGGATCCAGAGCGAGGGGAAAGCCGGCCGTGAAATTAAAACATGATGAGGGGTCTTTCTTAGATTGAGACGCGAGGGAGAGAGACAGTGAAGGAGTAAAAAAGAACGAATGGCGATGAAGACGGAGGCAGCAGCGAAGACGGAGACGGAGCTAATATCAGGGACGCATCCGCGAACGAAACATACGTGAAGATTGATTTTGTGCGAATGGAATTTGCTACCCTCTGTTTGGCGCTTGGAAGAAGTGATTTCTTTTATTTAATTGTCTTCTCAAAAAAGTTTATTTAAATTTTTTTAACTAATAATATACGAATATAAGGACGTGAAGAGCCGTTCGCAGGATGTTGTGCGTAAATGTGAGGTTGTGTATATATATATATATATAAATGCATATATAATAGGTCTACCGGAAAGTTCTGTCCGTTTTTGGAATAAAACAAAATACAAATTTTTCTTACCGTCAATAAACTTTATTAAATAATAT